GGGGCCGGGGCCGGGGGGTGGCGGGTCCTGCCGGCACTGCCCCTGCCCGCCCCGACAGACCGACCGAGCGGACGGGACGGGTCCCTCCCCGCCCGGCCACTCTGGCAGCCGCCCCGCCGACCCCGACGTTTCTGCTCCGCCGCTTCTCGTCCCGGCTGGGTCAGCCCTGAGCCCGCTGCGGGGCGGGAGAAGCCTGGACATCCCCTTACCCATCCCGGGGCATCCCCTTTCCAGTCCAGGGCATCCCCTTATCCCATTCTGGGGCATCTCTGTCTCCCAGCCCTGCACATTCCCCTCAACAGTCCTGAGCATCCTGTTCCCGGGACACCTCCTTACCCAGCCCTTCACCCTGTTTCACTCCTCCCCCTCGCAGCACCTTACGTTTCAGACACTGCTGGGGGTGTAGGGCCTCCCTTTTCCGCAGGTTTCCCCAGTGCCTAAAGTCTTCAGGCACTTGGGGGGAGGCAAAAATCCAGAGACAAAAATCCAGAGACAAAAATCCAGCACGGGTGTCACTGCTCTGGAGACCTCTTGGAAACAGCACTGAATCCCTTCTGCCAGGGCTGGTCTGCTCCCAGTCACAAGGGAACCGCAGTCCTGGGCAAGATGATCCCTGGGGAGCCACCATCACCTCCCACCTCCACCACCCGGCTGGGGCTGCAGAGCTCCCTGGCTGCAGGTGAGAACAGCCTCACCCCCTTCCCATGCCCGTCCACACCTCAGGATGAGCTCTTGGCTTGATTTTTGCCTTTCTAATTTCCTTTCTTCCTGCCCCTCTGTGCTTTTTGTGCTTTCCTGGTTTTTGAGGGAACCTGGCGCTGGCTCTGCAGCCCCCAGGGAGCAAAACCTTCCATTTATTTGCACACCAGACAGAGAAACCAGTCCTGCCTCCTGCATCTCCCAGCCACTGCCTCTACCCGGGGCTCCTGCGCTCCCCAGCCTGCCCCGAGAGGTGCCAGCCAGCCCGGGCCGCTGTGCCGGATATCGAGAGCAGCCAGCCTGGCCTTGGGCTGCTGGATGGGGACCAAAGGGGCACCTGGGACCCGCCTGGGTGGGTCCACACAGCTCAAAGTGGGACATGGGTTTGGCTCCCGACTCCCAGGGCCAGCCCTGCACCACTCTGGGTGTGGATGGATGCACCCTCTTCTCCTGAAGAAGGTGGAAGAGGTGGGGGTTCCTGTACCCCATGGCAGCTAAAGAGAAGAGGAGCAAATCCCTGACATCTCCCAGGGATGCTCCCACAAGCAGCCTGCTGCAGGAACAGCCCTAGTGCCACCTGTGAGGGCACCTGCCCTTTCCTCTCACCTGTGCTGAGCCAATCCTCTGTTTCCCAAACCTGCAGGCTCTTTGCAAGGTCCCAGAGCTGCTCCCAGCTCTCAGGACCCTCAGTGACATCCTGCCTGGAGGCTCTGGAAAGTCTGACGGGTCCTGCAGGCAGTGGCTGGTGGTGATCTCACTTGGAGGGGGAGGAAACGGGACAGACAAACTCTTTCCAACAAACCTGTTGAGTTACTTTAAAATTCCAGGCTGGCAGCAAAAGTGCTGGATGGCGGCGGGGATTAGGAAAATGCTGAGCCCGGACAGAGTCAGGCCTGACCTTTCCCCACCGCAGATCTGCCATCCCGGAGCAGTGAGAAATGGGAAGACTATTTGGGTCCATCTGGTTTGTGTGCTGAGCCCTGAAACACGATGCTGCTGGGGCAGCTGTGAGCCAAAGGGCTTGGCTGAGCTTCCCAGCCTGTGTCCCATCCAGGAGCCGCTGGTTTTGAGGATGTCTGACACCGCAAAAAGGCAGGGAGTGCATTCTGGACACCAGGTTCATGTCAAGCATCCCCAGTCGGTCCCACCCCATCCCACCCAGTCCTGGGGGCTGCCTTGGGAAAACCAGGCTCTGAGCTGGGCAGCAGCATCTGATAATGCCATCCTGTGGGGACAGGGACACACCTGCCTTGGCCCTGTGTGGCAGCTGAGATAACAGCTGGGCAGGAGAAAAATAGAAAGGAGGGTGGAAGCGGGGTTTAAAAATGGGTGCAATGCCTGTAAGAGGATGGGTTCTGTGGGAGCATCTCCCATGGGGAGGTGGGGCAGTCCAGGCATGGCAGCAGCCCCAGTAACCCTAAATATGAACCTGTGTTTGTGTCACTATGGCTGAAGGGACAGTCATGGGCAGAGAGGAATAGCTGTGGCACGGGGCCATGAAGGGAGGCAGTGGCAGAGAGCATTGTAGCAAGCAACCAGACTGAAATAAAGTGCTTAGTTTTTAAACCAGGGGCTGACAAAAATGGCCCAAAGCCACGTGAGGGAGTCTTGGCCAACCCCAATCAATGGAGGAGAGGTGTCCCTGTCCCAGACAGTGCCACAGGAGCTGGTCCTGATCACTCTTGAGCACGATCCCACCAGGCCCCATGGCCAGGGTGAGGGCTGGGAACTCCATCCTGTTTATGCCCAACTTAGGGATGGGTTGAGTTCCTGGAGACAGTGGGAACCCGCCTGCTGCCTTCCCACCCCCCTCCCGAGAAAAGCCACAGATTCCTCCTTATTTTTAAGGCCAGAGAGATCATCTCAAGCTAAATTAATCCCAGCAGCTCTGCTGGAAGCCTGGGACCTCTAACGCAGGGGAAGTCCTGCCCTGGGAAGAGCTGGGTGTTCTCACCAGGAGCACAGTAGTGTCGTTCTGGGGGTGGGGGGCACAGTGGCCAAAGGGGGTTTCTCTTACCTGTTTTCCTTGGCTCAAAGTCAGGGTTGATGAGGACCCGTTGGATCTTCACCACTTTCCACTCCTGGCTGGGGTTGTCCGTGGGGCTGTCTGCTGTGGGGGGCAGCTCTGGGGCAGAGCCAGGGCACTTGGGAGGTGCTGCAGGCTGCTCCACCAAGGCCAGGCTGCTGCCATTCAATGGGGGTTGTGGTGCATCCCCACTGAGCCCCCTGGGGTCCCTCTGGCAGCTCCCACTCGGTCTCTCTCCCAGCAGTCCCATCTGTGCCTCCTGCTCACCTGGCTCGGAGGCTGGGGCATCCCAGAGCTGATGGCAGCTCTGCTCCCCTCTGCTCCTCCTCTCCTGCCAGCAGCCACTGTCCCCCTCACTGTCCCCCTTGGCTGTCCCACGGACACAGGGGGGCTGCTCAGCCTCACCAGGCACGGGGCAGCTGGGCTGGGGGTGGAGACAGAACTGCTGGAGCCTTGTCCTCAGCATCTTCCTTCACTGATTGCCTTCACTAGCACTCCATGGCCTTTCCAAACAGCTCCACATGGCCAGAGGGATGGATCCTCCCTCAGAGCATGGGCAGCACGAGAGGGAGGGCAGCCACGCGCCAGGCACAAGCTCAGCTTTACTACTCTTGCAGGCAGGAAGAGCAGGCAGGATGCCACTGGAGCAGGCAGGTTCTGGAGACACAGATGGAGGGATGTGTCCAGGGCAGACAGGCCAGCCAGGAGGATTTTGCAGGAAATTCCCTTTTCCAGGCAGAGGACAGACATCCAAGGACCTGTGTAAGGGAAGGAGGAATGTTGAGGATGCTTGTGCTTGCACTGATTTCTGATGGCTACAGACATCGGAGCAGCTCCCAGCAACCCCAGCATGAACTCCAGCTCCAGCAACAATTCCCATGAGGAAGAACCCCCTGAGATGCAAAGTCCGTTTGGAAATGCCCCAACACCGTGCTCACCACCCCAGCACCCTCGTCTGTCTGTCCTCACCCTGGGGACAGCACCCTGGGGACAGCAGCCATGGCCCTGGCTCCCCTGGCTTTGCCAGCCCAGATGAGGCTGTGGGCACCCCTGTTAGTGCCCAGCACTGGGGCACCACTGCTCTGGAGCTGGGAGTGTTCAGTGAAAAAGCAAATCCCTGAGGATGTTGCTCAGGGTTATCGGGAACAAAAAAGGAAAATTTCCAGCATCCAGCTGAACTGTGTTTAACCATTGAGTGACTCACGCGGCGTCAGGACAAGCACAGACAGACCCACTTCCCTCCTGCCAAGCATAAATCCTGCTGGGATGACGAACCCACGCACCAACACAGACGAGTTATCAGCTGGGAGAGGGGGATGTCATCACTCCCAGGACAGGATATGGGTTATAGTGTACGGAAATTCCTGTGAGTCCTTCGCTCGCACAGCATCGCCCAGCCCTGCTCACAGCAAGGCTGGTCCTGGGGAAGCTCCTCCCCAGACATCCACAGCACCCACGGCACATGGACCCTGATGGATTTCCCAACCTGAGGAAAAGGGGTTTCTGCTCATCCCAAACCCCTCCCTGAGTTATTGCGAGGTTTTTCAGTGAAATGAGAAAAAGCACCAGGTCAACATCGCAGGTTAAGCTCTGGCAGGAATACACCCTGCAGCTTCCTCGAGGCTCACAGCTCCTCTGCAACATTTTTCCTGTCCTTAGCAAGGTTATTTTGGAAAAGAAGGCAGGTTAGAAAGCAGGCACTCGGGCATTTCCCAAACACAAGGCTGCATTTTTTGGAGAACACCCAATGGAAATCTTCTGCCCTTTCTGAAATCCTTCCTCCTGCCTCTCTCTGCTGCAATTATTCAGCACAGATTTGCAAAGAGAACCTGAGGAGAAAATGTCAATGTTTCTCTCTGAAAAAGAAATTTCACCCTCCTCTTTACGTAATTTGGGGGCTCAATAGTTGCAGGAAGCCACCCACATCTTTCCTTAGAAACATGGCAAGTTGTTGGAGCTGGAAGGAGCTGGCTTATCTCAAATGAGGACAAAGAGAAAGTTGCCGAAAATAGCCCCAGCCCAGCCTGGGTCGGCAGAGAAGCTCCCAGGGTGGGTCTGCATCTCCCCACTCCCATTCCCTCACCCTATCCCTAGGGAGCCGATTGCTGGGGCAGCACAACTCATGTCCATCCTACACAGGAGCCGCCTTGACAATTTGCTGGGGGAGCTGGTCCCTCCCTGAAAACTCTTCCAGAGCCGCCCCCTTCCATTCGGGAGTGCTTTCCACACACGGGCATCTCCTGGCAGCGACGCCCACGGCCCCGGTGCTCCCCAGGCAAACCCAGCCGTGCTGAGAGCCGGGCGGTGGCGTTCCCCAAGGACACACTGCTGGGACAGGGCCACCCACAGCACCGAAATCCTGAGTCAGGATCTGCTGCCTCGCTTGGGGCACGGCAGAGAGCAGCCTCCTTCCCCCCGGGACACAGCTCCTGGGCTCTACCAGCAGCACAGGAGGGGAATATTTATGAGAACCGTGGATCTCTAGCAAAAGCTGCTAGGCTGAGCCTGTGTGTTGGAATACCAGCCACGTAGGATGTGTGTATGTGCCTCGGGTGCATCACTTCACTGGCAAAAACAAACAGCAACACCAGCCATAGCCACAAAACCAGGCTGAGATAGCCCCCACCTGCAAACAAAGGCTGTAAAGAGGGGTGAGGGTCGTTTCAGGCATCATTTCAGGGGTGCAGCTCTGGAGGACACCCAAACTGGGCACCAGTGCCCAACTCACAGTCCCGAGAAGCAGCTGCTCACCGTGCCCATCTGAGAGGCTCCTCATGCTTCCTGATGGCAACAACTCCCTACGGGAAGCTGCAAAATGGTGCTGGGGAGGGAATAACAACAACAAAAAATCCTTCAATTCACAAAGTGCTGAAATCTGGCAGCAAGGAGACCTTTTGCTCAGCCTCTCTTCCTGCCCACTCGCTGGCGAGTGATGCACAGCCCCCCCACCTGCCTTTCTCACACCCTGTCACCCTCCCCTCCCGCTATTGAAAAAAGGAAAACTAAAGTTAACTTTCCACGTCCCACACAAATATTTTTGGCAGGCGTTGCTGGCATTCAGGCTGCTGAGCCCGGGGGAGACAGGGTCTGCAGAGTCTTCGTCTCCATCTGCTCCCGGCTGGGGGTCTGCAGTGCCTGGGCTGGGCTGGGCTGTCCCGGACACAGCACAGGGACAGGAGGTGGCAGGGCTGTAAAAAAAAATGGGGGGCACCTCCAGGACAGCCCTGGGGACTGTGAGTGGCCCAGCCACGGGAGTGCCATGCAGGGGGGGACAGATTCACACCCAAACTTTGGCTCTGTCCCTGCTTTCCCGTGTTGTTCTCAGCCACATCCTTGCCCCACGCTGGGTTTTCATCACCATGAAACGAGCCGGGAAGGGTGCGAAAGCTGTCCCCAGCACAGCGGGGCTCTCGGGTTTCCCCGGGTCAGGCAGCGGGTCGCTGTCACTCAGGCAGGACCCTGCTGCCCAGACTTGCAGTCCCCAGCTCCAGTCACAAGATCGGCCCAGTCCCTTTCCAAAATAGCCCAGCCGCAATGTATACATCTGGGGAGCTTTACACCTCCCCTGTGCCAGCAGCTGAATGTCCCCTCGGGGGACCCGGGCACCTTCCTTCCCCACGTGGAGCCTTCTTCCCGTGGCGCCTTCCCTCCCTGTGTCCCTGTGGGGAGCGCTGCCCTCCCAGGTGACACCGGAGACACCTCGGGTGTCACCCAGCAGCATTTGGCCGCCCTGTGCACAGACACTCTCCCGTCTGCTGCGATCCAATGTCCCTCCCAGCTCCCTGGGTACCCGGCCGTGCTGCTGAGCTGTGCTGGGGAGCTGCCTGTGGGCTGATCTCCCTTGCACAAGGACCCTGCTAAACCCCAAAGCCTGCACGGCTGGGGCCAGCGTGGTGTCACCTGTGCCACCCCCAGGGCCTCCCCCGGGACAGCAGGGCTGCTTACAGCCACACGGGGATGGCAGCAGGAGGGACACAGCTGGGATGTGCAGGGTGGACGGAGGGAAGCCTTCTCTGACAGGGCCCAGTGCCCAGGGAAGGGGTGCAAGGGACGGGGGATGGATGTGATTGATTCCCTCGCCATGAGAAGGATGCCGGCTCCCTGAGGAGCAGGACTGGCAGTGTGGACAGGCATGGCCACGTCCTGGCTCCTGCAGGCGAGGCCAGGGCTGGCAGGCACAGCAGTCTGCAGCGTGCTGGGGGAAACAAAAGCCTTTTGCAGCGCTGATTTACTACCTTGACGGAAACCGGGATGGAAAAAACAACATTCCCGAATGCCTGTCCCCGTGCAACCCCTGCGGTCCCCAGCAGCTCAGCCCGCCTGCGGACACACGGGCAGCTGCTCCCGGCAGGTGGGTGCCCTGTGCCCCCATTCCTGCCCACAGCCGCTGGGGAGAGGCAGCAGAAGGAATGCTGGGGATGACCACGGGGGCTGCGGGGCACCAGGGGAGCGGTCGTGATTAAGCAGTGAGCGAAACAAGGGAGGAGGAGGATGACAGTGGCATCCCGGCCAGCTGGACCGTGTCCCCTCCCTCTCCACCCCACGCTGGGAGGAAGGGCTGGATGTGGGCTGATCGTATCCCTCTGAACTGGTGCATGGCTCCTCACGCCAGCTTTGGGCTTGTCCCTCCTGGCTCAGGGAGCTCTCCCTGGGCAGCTCCCCTGGGAGCTGAAGCTGCCAGGCACTGAGAAGTGCTGGGAAGCAGGATGGAGAGCTGAGGAAAGGGATGCTGGCCCCTTGGAGGGATGGAGAGCTGAGGAAAGGGATGCTGGCCCCTTGGAGGGATGGAGAGCTGAGGAAAGGGATGCTGGCCCCTTGGAGGGCAGCACGGTGCAGGCTGGGCTGGATTTTGTACCCTGGCACGGCTGTTCCAACCCAGCCCCGTTCCACTCCACCACCCCCATTCCCATGGGGGTTTTGGTCAGGTTTTGGTGCCCAGCACACCCACTCCCCTCCTCCCACTGCTCAGCCCACGTTCCAGCCCCAGTTTCCAAGAAACCCCGATGTTCCACAGGGATTTGTGTCCATCAAACATCACTGTGCACTCCAGGCAGGCAGCACTGCTCCTGCTCTGCCCTCCTGGCTGGGCTCAGAAGTGAATCCACCCCTTCCCTAAGGGGCCCATCTGAGCTGGGGGTCCCAACCAGACAATCCTGGCAGCTGCCCATGCCCTGAGTGCATGACAGCCTCACGCAGGGCAGGTCCCAGCCTGTCCTGCCCTTTGCTCAGCCTGAACCCTGACCCCAGCTCCAGCTGCTGCATTCCAGGGAATGACAACCCCAGTCTGGCTCTTACAGCTGCCTCAAGCCCTTCTTCTCAGTACAGTTTTGGGGAGCAAAGGGCCAGGTTTGCCATGTCCCACTTGCAGCCTGATGCAAGCCCAAGGTGTCATCGTGGGGTGACCTTCCTCAGGGACCTCTGGCCCCTCCTGCTGTGGGACAGAGGATGGTCAGCTGGAGCCTCAGCAGGTCACTACAGGAAGCCAGGGATGAAACTGCAGCTCAGCCTTTTCAAAGCTCAAATGAAATATAAAAACCAGAGAGGTCTAAGACAGAAGATGAACTGAAAGATCAAGCTCTGGTCAGTGTGGCATGGCTGTCCCCAGGACTGGCACCACCATGGCAGCAAAGTGAGCTGGATTGGCAAGGCAGGTTCTGGCAGCTTTGGGCTCCACACATCCCTGTCTGCCCAGGGCAGCTCACCTTCCTCACCCATGCTGCAGGAACATCCCGGCTGTGCAGCCACCGGCTCTCTGGCACAGCAGGTCCCACACCCAAATTTCCCCTCAGAGCTCCAGCAGCAGCTGCCAGAGGGAGAAGGGAGGGCGGGCTGGCACAGTGGCGCCTTCACGCATTTCCCAAGCAATACCAGTGCACATTTCCTGGGAGAGGAATGAAGGAACTCTCACTAAACAAAATCCTGCTCCTGGAGGCGAGCACTGTGGGGATGGAGTCACCCCTGGATATCAGATGCCTGCTGGTGGTTGTGCCAAAAGCTGTGTTGGGTGGGGAGGACAGGGCAGTGTCTGCAGTGGTGTTGGGGTTCACCCTGCAGTGGGGTTGGAACTCATCCCACAGCCATGAGATGAGTGGGATGAACTTTCTGGCAGTGGAGTTACAGCTAATCCTGCAGCCTCGCTGGCCTCAGGGAGCTCAGTCTCTGCAGATATAAAGCACAAGACAGCAACTAAGCAGAACACCCCACAGGGGCTTGAAAATCCAGTTTAAACAGCCTCTGAGCATTCAGGGCTGCCCAAGCTGGGACAACTGACAGTCTGAACATCTCAACCCCCCCGGGTCCAAACCAGGCTTAAAACTTCGCAGGTAATCCTAGGGGCTGGCCCAGCCACTGCTGGATTTCACAGCCATTGTCACATTGTCACAGCCCTGCCCAGGTCCTCCTGAACAGACAAATGAGGGGCCATGACCTGGGGCTGTCAGGATCAGGGCACGGGACCTGCCGGCACAAAGATCCAAGGTCAGTAGCAGACCTGACAGCTCAGCCAAGGTTTGCTGAGCCCAGCAGCTTTGTCGTCCCCACTGTGACCCCCCCGTCCCCCATCACCTCCAGGCATCCCTGAATCCCTAAAGCTCCCTGAAGATCAGAACTGCGCTGCTAAGAAACAGGGAGCAGCTCCCTGCTGCCTCTCAGACCTGCAGCCCTGGCCAGTGCCTTGGCCCCCAGCTCTGATCCCAGGGAGGCAGGATGGGAACTGAGAGTAGAGATGGATGCACACAGCCTGGGAACTGCCAGGACCAGGATAAAGGACATTTTAACAGCTCAGTGACAGAGTGCACACAAGATCAGGGTTTGGCCCCTCTGAGCCCCATGGGCAGCGCTCGGGTCTGTCCATGGGAAACAAAGAGCATCCCAGGGAAGGGAGTGTTTTCTTTCCAGACCAGGAAAGCAGCCAAACCCCAGCACATGCCCATTCCCAGGCCTTGGCCCCAGCAGCACAGCAGGCTGGTGGCCTTGGGACATGAGGTCCTTTCCCATGTAGCTCCCCAAGTTGAGACCCAAGCCGGTCCTGGCGAGGCAGGAGAGCAGCCCTGCTGCTTGCTGGGCTTCCGGGGGTCCCTGAGGCCAGGGCACAACCACCACCTCACTACTCAGAGGGGTCCCCAAGCCTTTTGGGATGGGGCTGTGTGTGTGTGTGTGTGTGCTCAGCAGTCTGGCTCTCCTCCTGGCAGAACCGCTTGTGCAGTAGGAATAAACATGCCGAGGACACATCCAAGCCAGTGCAAACAGCCCCTGACCGAGCTGCTCTCTCCCAACACTCTGTTTTTCTTTCTCTGCTTTTCCTCTCCTCTCTTAACCCCTTCAGGAGCCCGGGGGACCTGTGCCGGCAGCCCTAGGGGCTGCTGGAGCCAAACCCCATGAAACCCTGGGAGTCTGACCGCAAGGAAGGGCTGGGACACCAAGGAGGTCCCAGGGTGCCCCCAGGGCGCAGGGCTGGTTTTGCTGCCCTCAAGTCGCCTGGCTCTCGTTCCTCTCCCTCTTCTTCCCCCACCTCCTTTCTCCCCTCTAGAGCTCATCCTTTCCCCAACAGCTCCGGGGGGTCCTGAGGGAAAGGGCTGCTCTCCCTTCAGCGCCCAGCTCACCCAGCCAAGCACAGGCTGGACGCTGGCAGAGGGCACCTCCTTCTGGGCAGGACAGAGGAGCCGGGAGACACCCATCGTGAGGAAAGCACTCCAGGGAAGCTCACCTCCACCCTGGGCTCTGCCGGGAGCCCCCTCCACCCTGGAGGTTGCCGTGTTCGTCTCCTGTGACACCGCTCAGTCCCCACGGTCACCGAGAGCCGTGCCCAGCCAGCATCCCGCTGGCACGGCCACGGAGCCCCGGGCACCTCTCCTGAGCCCAGGGATGCTCGCACTCGCCGCGCTCACCTCTTTCCCTTCCCCTTCTCTGCCGTGGGGAAGTAAAGCTGGCTGCTTTCCATGTGCTCCAGCTAAGCCCGGAGGAGGTCACGTCCTCGCTGCCCCCGCTGTGCCCGGAGCCCGGGGTCCCGGCCGGGAGCTGCGGCCGGCAGCGCCCGGGGCTCCTCGCCTGCTCTGCTCCAGCGCGCAGGGCAGAGAGAACGGGGGAGAGGGGAGGGAGGAGGGGAGGGGGGAAATGAAACTTTAATAGCACAGAGCCCCTTTTGTTTCCCAGCATATGGGATATTTCATACATGCTGAAGGCATTAACCACCTATATTCTTCAAGCGCTCGCGGCAGCTGGGAGCACAGCCCTGCGCTCAGCTCGGGGCACAGTGCCTGTCCTGGGGGGCTGCAGGCTGCAGCAAGACACCCCTTTGCCCTGGCACCCCTCTCTGGAAGCGGGGACACCCTAAATTACAGCCTGGAAAACTGCTCTGCTTCACCCAGGATCACACCCTGCATGGTTTTGTCCCCCCAAAAGAGCAACCAAATCCCCAAACTCAAGTCCAAGAAAGGGCTGTCCCTTTCACTGTTTTTTGGACATGGGAAACTAACCCCACCATTCCTGGGGGTCTGAGACCCCAAACATCTCTCCTGTCCTGGGACATGGCAGAGCCTTGAAGCCCCATGGAACTGTGACTAACAGTGGCAGAGAGAGGCTGAGGAGGGCTGGTGGCACATCCCCTCTCTGCCCGAATCCCAAGGACACAAGAGCATCCCTGGAGCAGCAAGCAGGCAAGGTGCTGACAGGGAAGGGCTGGGAAATATCCACATGGAATATCCTTCTGCTGTTTACCCATTTTCTCCCTTCTGTCTCCCCTCGTGGTGCCTGGGGACAGACCATGGTGCCGGTAAAATGGGTGACACCACCTTCACAAGTAGGGAAGGGACATCTCCAGGCCCTGAGCACAGACAGTGGCTGCCCCCTGCAGCCCCCACCAGCCACCTCAGTGTGGGATGGGATATCTGGGGTCCTTGGCACTCCATCCTTTCCTTATTCCCTTGGAGAGATGTTGGCTTTGACCTTCTGGGCAGGAGAGGACATCAACTGGTGGCAAAACTCCAAGCAAAGTCTGAGATGGAGGGGGGCACATCTGTGCTGTTTTCACCAGCTTGGGTGGATTCCTCAGCTCTGGGCTTTTCACTGGTGCCCACCCCCTGACTGGCACCCATGAGGGCTCCCGAAGTGGGTTCCCCTTCACCAGCCCTCGTGGTTTTGGGCAGCCAGGGGAAGGAAGGCATGAGCCCACTCACCCAGGGTGAAGGGACATGTTGTCCATCCCACGGAGCTCCACTTGTCCCTGAGCCCCCAGCCCTGCACTGTGCAGGATGCCCTGTAAATCCTTACTTTGTCCAGTGTTTATCCAGTCACACTCTAATTTGAAATAAAAAACGCAGCCAGTAAAAGGCCTTTATAGCTCTTCAGAGCTCATAAACCGGCAGCGCTGGCGGACGGGGGCCAGATGATTGGGGGCTGCTAGGAAAATTTATTGCAGATTTTGGTAACTTAAACATTACAGTTCTGTGAGCCCCGGGACTGGTTTGCTGAGCAGCTCCCAGCAGCAGGGATGGAACAAGGGATGCTTTATTGGGGAAGGGAAGGGGGGGCTGACAGGTCTCACCCAGACCCACAGTTAACACCCACCCAGATTTAGACTGGCTCGTTTTTAAGGTAAGCCTTCGCACAGACCGAATCCATCCTCATGCCAGGAGGGAGTGTGTGTCCAGGATCCTATCCTCACGTCCAGGGCTGCTGGACACAAGGCTGCATCGCCCTGGGATGAAGACAGCCCCCAGCAGCAACCCAGGGAGATGATGTATGGGACTGTGCCAGCACCTCCTTGTGCCAAATCCCCTGGCTCGGTGGGTGACCTTGCACCATGCCCTGCCGTGGGGCAGGAAGAGCTGGGATGGGCTGGCCAAGCTTGTCGTGGGAGTCTGTAGAATTTGGAGAGAATGAGAGGAAGCGGCCAGGGTGGGGAGCGTGCGAGGGAAGGCGGGTAGCAGGAGGGAAGGCATTTTTTCCTTGCCAGTGTCTTGGCTGATTCGGTGTGAACTGCTATAAATTTGTTCCTTATCTCTCAGGCCATTTAATGTTTTCATGAAAAGAAAATAGTCTGCAGGAAAAAAACTCTGCTGATAAAAGATCCCTTTGGCATTGGGAGGAATGTTAAATGTCTCTAATCAGCAGGGTCTGGGGCTCAGAGTGCTCCTGGAGCTGGCAGGGAGCTGAGGAGATGTGGAGACTGGGCAATGCTTGGAGCAGACTCTCCCAGCACCCTCCCAGGTCTGGGGAGGAGTTGGCATCTGCACCCCTGGGTGCCCCTTGCACTAAGAAAGGGTCCAGACCTACACAGGGGACGTTGTGCCCAGTGCAGAATAGCAGTGGCTGTGGCTGGGATGGCTCCAGCCACCTCACCCTGCAGGCTTCAACATAAATGAAACCAAATGCTGCCAGAGAGAATAAAAAGTGGGAACATGAGGTGCAAATTCTATGAGAGAAAAGATATGGATCCAAACCCTTCTTGACTGCTTCCCAGGGCCAGGCAGGAGCATGGGCTGTGCTAGGCTGTCCCCACGTGTCTTTGCACCTCCAGGATCTGCATCCCTTGCCTGTGGCTGCACCCGTGGGGAGGCCAGGGGGAAGCCCCAGAGCTCCATGTGGCTGGAAGCATTCTTCTCAAGAAAGCTGGCCCACAGACCAGCTGCTGTTTGGATTTACAGATGCAAAAGCAAATCCTGCATGAGTCCTCCTTGGAACAAATCTCCTGGCCCTTACTGACCGTGGTCTTGCTCCTGCTGAGGACTGCAATGCAGGGCTGGAGGCACAGGGGTCACGAGCATCCCTCTCTGCAGGATCAAGTAGCGCCTGGTGGCACTTCCCATGACATGTGGGCACTGAGCTGTATCCCTGAGGCTTCTTCCTTCCTCCAAACACTGGATGATGTGACTGCTGGCAAATCACATGCTGGTGCACCCCTGACTGGGAGCATCCCCACCGTGTGGATCTCTGAAGGCCATCCCACCCAGCAGAACCACGGCACAGGGACACACGAGCTTCTGAGCTGCAGCTTCATGTCCAGGCTTGAAAACAAACCAGGCAGCAAAAATGTGACTGCAAAGGGGATTTTTCAGGGTGGGAAGGAACTGTTAGTGATGACTTTTCCTCCCCATTTTTTTTGCCTTTTGGTAGTGTTTCATTTTATACTCCAAGAGAGCAGAAATGCCATTTAAAATGAAAAAAATCAAATCCTTCTGTTTCAACACACTCCCTAGCTCAATGTCCTCATGCACCAACACACCTACATACCAGCTTTTCTCCCAGGCACAGCCCTGGCCCAGCAGAGCCCGTTTCCAGGCAGCATTCCCCCTTGGCCAGGCCCATATCCCAGCATCCTGCCTCCCCTGCCAGCCCCACTCCCAGCCCCATCCCGCCATCCACATCCCCTCTCCACAGGCAAACACATTTTCTTCCACATCCATCACGTGGAAGTAGGATGTGCATTCTGGTGCCAGAACACGCACGGCCGGCTGCGCCAGCAGCGCTGCTCGGCCGCACAGAGCTGCTGCTGTGCCGGTGGATTGCACTCGGCTTTTGTGGGATGGTTTTGGCTGTGCCTGGAACGGTGAGGAGGAGCCAGGAGCTGGCACTTGCCATCGACACTGACCTGCTGAAGCTGGTGTGGTGCCAGGTGTCTCACTCTTTGCTTGGACATCTGTGTGCCCACTCTTGCCTTGCTCTGGGGCATTTCTGTGCTGTTCAGAGGCAAAACTGGATGTATTTTGTAAAGCTGGCGGGCGCTCGGCAGCCTGGCAGCACCACGATGGCATCATGGGATGAGGACAGTGACCGTGCATGGGCCCCGGGCACCCGGCATCCTCCTGCCAGGGGATGTGGGCATGAGGGTACCAGGCTCTCATCTCCAAAGTGCCCAGTGGCAGCTCCCCTTGGAGTCCAGGGCAGCCCCACTGCTGCTGCTTTTCCTGCCCTCTGGAAGACCCCCCCATCCCACCGCTGTCTGCCTCTGACGCAGGCGGCTTCGCTTCCAGACGGGTCGTGCTCGCCCCGAGCCCCAGCCAAAAGAAAGCCCCTTTGTTCGGCTCGGCAAGCGGGGCCCGTGCGCCGGCTGACCCCACTGACCTCCACCACCCAAAAACACAGTCCCTGCTGTCCCATGGGTCAGGGCAGGCATGAGGACAGCGACAGGGACAGCCCCCGATACCCCTCCTCGGGTCAGGGACAGTGCCCAGGGACACGGGCATGGGTCACAGAGGGTGCAAGGGTATGGAGCAGCTCTGTCCTCAGGAAGGGATGGAGGGATGGAGGGATGGAGGGATGCTCTACAGCCAAACCTCTGATCTCTTTTTGAGATGGGCAGAAATCACTGGGAAATAGTGGAGCTGCCAAGCTCTCCAGAGTGGGATGGGGAGCGGGGCTGGAGCTGAACAAGCTGTTGCTAATGAGAAGCAGGTGGAGAGCCCGGCATTGCCCCCCCAGTCTTCTCTCAGCCCTCGGGGTCAGCCTGTATTTTCTGTATTTTCTTAAGTCCTGATTGCAGAGAAATTGGAGGCTTGTGTGCCAGTGGGTTTTGGTGCACTCCAAAACAAAGGGAAAGTGACAGGAACATGGGTGTAGGTTTGGGAATGGCTGGAGATTGTTTCTGGCACTTTGCATCCTGGCTGAGCAGGGGACAGGACCCAAGGGATGATGCCTGCCCTGATCCTGCTCCAGCAGGAGCATCCCACTTGGGAATGGCAGCAGCCCATCCAACAGCTCTCAACTCATCCCTAATTTGCATGCAGGAGAAGAGGAACCCTGAGCTTCTGAGCCAGAGAGGAAACGAGAGCAGAAAAATGTGATAAACAGCTGTAAAGCCCAGCCCTGGCTCTGTGCTGCTCCCGCCGTCGCGGGTCGGCCCCTCAGACTGTTTATGGAAAGCCCAGTTTGCCGAGAAATCCATCTCCCGTTTCCTGTTGATCGCTGGGAGCCAAGGTCCCTCAGCCAAGGGCTGCCGGCCGCCCGCGCACGGCGCTGTGAGAGAGAAAGGGG